GGAGGGGGGGGCAAGCGCTCAGGGGCATGCCGTTCCCGGGCAGAGTTCAATGTTGGCAGTGATAGTGTTTATATCAATAGGAACAGCTAAAGCTGATAGATACGATGCCAAATTGGGAGTTGCACAACTTGGATTTGAAGTAATCATCTTTGAGGCTTGGGGATGAGACAGGTTTAATAACAGGGAATTGGGGATCTAATGCAAAGCGAAACAAGAATACCTGGGAGAGTTTTTCATAGGATCAATGGAAGCCTAAAACACGTTGTGGGCCATTTATAAAACGTAAAATTTTACCAAATAAATGCTTGATATAGGAAGATCACACACACACACACAAAAAAAAGATCACATTGGCAGTGAACATAATTCCTTTTCTGCTCATGGAGTATATTCACGGAGTCTGCTTTCAGTAGCATCTAAGCTGAAGGGTATTTGCTGGTAATTTAATTTATTCAATGTGCAGGAATCCGTCTGTGTTGGCAGTATTCTGAGACATTGATTCATTCTAACTTCCCTGTTTTTGAGTTTCAACATGGATAAAGCTGATTTATATCGCGCGCGTGTGTGTGTGTGTATGTGTGTGTGTGTGTGTGTGTGTGTGTGTGTGTGTTGGAAGAGATTAATGAGCTTCATAGTTAATTCTTTTAAACTACTGCTTGTGCCTGGGTGAGCTTGGTCCCCTGTAAAGAGGAAGGCCGTCGGCAGATGAGCTGCACAGGAGCAGCAGCAGTGGCTCCAACACCGTGGTGAGGACACGCAGGCCTGGGCAGGGTATCCTTGGGCTGTGCGTGTGCGTGGGCTGCTGCAGGTTGGACCCACCTGACACTCCCGTCGTCTTGGGCCTCAGTGCTTTCTAGAAACCTCCATCTTGTGTGTCAGGTTAGGCGTCGGGCTAGGAGAACCCTGATTTCATGAGGAAATAGTGGGAGGAAGAAACTGCTTAAGACTTTAAAATTGACAGTTGCGACAGTAAATTCATTTCAGTTTGTTAACAGAATTCAGGTTGTGATCACAGCTAAGCTTACGGCCTTATGGTGAATGTTGGGCAGGTCGGGTACTGGTCATTTGAGGAGAATAATGTTTAATCTTTCTGCGGGTTGGGTTTTAGTGCTTGTTGTACTGTTCGCTTTGTTAGCGCGGCTCACAAGTTCTTGAACGTGAACATGATCCTCACAGGCTGTGTGGAGCTGCTCATGAAGAGGAAAATGTGCAGAGTAGCATGCAGTTGATTTGAATGATCTCATCTGGCAAGACATTGACAGAACGGGGTAGGCATGGGTGGTGGAGTTAAACAAGAGGAGCTTGGACTAAATTTTAAGTGGTTTGTTGAGCAGGTATTTTCTCATTTGTGCTTTTTTCTGTGTATAACTTCATTGCTGCAGGGGTTCATTGACAGTCCTGGACTCGGATAAGAGGATCCTGTTCTCCTCGGTGGGTCGGTCAGTTGTTGTGCGGTGCACTGGAGTGGATTCTGACTCACAGCAACCCTGTGTACCACAGCAGGGAACACCACCGGCCCTGCCCCAGCCACTGTCAGTCCGTCACATTGCGGGCCTTCCTCTCCCGCCCGCTCTCTTTCACCCACCGTGACAACCTGTCCAAAGTACTTACACGGCATATTCTGGCTGTCCTTCTCCCTGAACACATTTGCGGGTTCTTTTGGCAATCTGGTACTCTGAATATTCTCTGCCGGCCAGCACCCGAATGCCATTGTTTCAGTTCTTCTTGGGCCTTTCTTCTTCAGTGTCCGGCTTTCGTGTGCAGAGGAAGTGACTGAAAGTATCATCACGCTGTCAGGTGCACTTGAGAACGGGAAATAATTAAAATTAAAATGACAAAACCACACAGGGAAACCACTTTCCAATTCTAATATTGTAGGGAAAGTTGCATGTGTCTCAAAGTTCACTCATTGTTTAAGCGTCTCGTGTTTTCAGGAATAGCATCAAGGTTCTAGCCATGGTGTAGGCTGAATACTTGGGAAGTGAACCTGAGCATTGACTTAACATCATGCCTGGTTTGGTCCATCTTTTTTAGTGGTGGTTTTTTAAAAAAAGAAATGCATATTGCTTAGTTATCTTGGGGGATTCCTTATAAAATTTACTGGTTTAAAAGTAATTTTTCTATCATTCCTCACCCCAGCCAACTCTCTTATCTGCTTCACTTTGATTTGCTACTTTCAAAATAGGGACATTTTCTATTTCTTCTAGAAAGCACAATTTGTCGTTTAAACAGCATGACTTCTTCCTATTGAGTCTATTTTACTGAAAGCTATTGGTCTAAATACATAGCTCTACTTCTAGTGTGAGTAAATATGCTTCTCAGCGTTTAAGCTAAGGTTAAGTCACTATTTGCCATCCTAAATAGGATTAAAAGCAAACTTTTAGAAAGCATTGATACATGAGGGCGAGTCAGAAAATATTGCTACTAGGTAGGGTTTAGTTCATTCGTCATGCAAATATGAGTTCCTTCCAAACAAAAAAATGTTAAAACGTGATAAATGATTGGCTACAAATAAATTCTCTCAGCACAACGCTGGCTTTAGACTCATTAGGGTGCTTTCAAGAACACTGACTTCTGAGGCGATCTGCTGGACCAGACACAGGTCAACTCAGAAAGTTTTGTCAACTATTTTTTTAAGATTCCATAGTGTAATCTCTGGGGAAAACAACCCCTTTGTTCTAAACTCGGTGATGGTTCACAGAGCAGATCGCTCTGTGTCATGTCGGTAATCGCAGTCCCTGCGGTGTGCTACCACATCCGTTCCCTCTGCCTCTCTCGCTCACATCGCCCACGTCTGTAAGCAGGCTCATAGAGTGCACGGGGTGGACCCTGTGTGTTGCATAGACCTTTGGGTTTTGACACGCATCATCTCGTTTCCACCATTCAGTGTCACGGAGATTAGTTTCAGTAAGTATTCCACTTCACGGATATGGACTGTCTTTCCACTTATTTAGAGCCCTCGCTCAATGACAGTTTCTCGTTTTCAGTGTGCACATTTTGTCCTTTGTGTTAACTTTATGTCTGACTTTATCCACATACTGGATACTCACAGCTGGAGCTTCCCTGTGTATTTTAGGTCCGTCATCACTAGGACAGAGACAAAGACGGATTTTGTTGGTTGTGCTTGCTTCTCGCAGCTTTGAATTCATTCATTCATTCTAGTGCATTAATTCTTAGGCTTTCCTCTGTTCAAAGTCATGTTATCTACACACCAACTTCTTCCCATCTAATCGGGATGCCTTTGATTGCGGTTTCTCGCCTGTCCCTACTAGAATGCTGATTAGAAGTGTGAGAGAGGACAGATGGCCTTTTCTTATTTCTGATTTGAGAGGGGACACATCTTTCACCACGAAGTATGGTGTTAAGTGGAGGTTATTTGATGAGTAAGCTGATGGTTTGCTTCGTCTGCCAAGTGTGCTGGGTTTTGTGTGGGCTTGTTTCAGTCACCGAGTGGGGGTTGGGTCTTTTCAGATGCTGCCTCTCCTCTCTTTTGTGACACTTGCATGGTTTCTGTTCTTCACCGTTTCATGGATGTGTTGCATTTTGTCTGGTGAGCCAACCTTGCATTCCTGGGATAAATCCAACTTGGTCATGGTGTAGGATCCTTTTTATATGATGTTTGAGTCTGTGCCTGCCCCTCAACTCAGGGATGTGTGATCCCAGTGCAGTCATGTGACAGTGCTGGGCCTCAGCTTGCTTGGCTGAAAGGGCCCAAGCAGGTTTGGCATAATTAGGGGCCTTACAACCTTGGGGGATGTAGACCACCAACCTGGAAAACATCTAGCCCGTCCAGCCGGCATAACAAGCATTTGGAGTTTCAAACTTGTTTTTAATGTCTTTTTTACCATAGTGATATAGTTTATTTATCAGCATGAAAAGCTGTAGGAATGTTTCCAAAGTTTGAATAATGTGTTATTTTTTTAAAAAAACGTTTTCAGGAAGGCCCAACTCTAAAGACTGAAAGAAAGAGATGAATTTATCTATGATAAGCCCTTTTTCCCCTCCTCCCGCCCCACTTCTAGATGGATGGAAAGGGTGCCCTGGGAGTGGCAGCGTACTACATAGCATTCGCTCCCCCACAGCGACCCTGCATAATAAAGGAAAGTCAGTTTAGCCTTAGACCTGAGGGGGGAGCCCCTAGAAGTGTGGCTTTATTGAGAGTGGCCTCCTTTATGAAGAGTAACAGGAACTAAAAGTTCCCCCGAGTTTATCTGTGGTTTCTTCTCCTAGCTGCTCCCTCAGATTAGAGCCCAGTTGGGTTTAAGTGGTGGATTGAAGGCCCTTTGGCACACTGAGGAGCCCTCCTGGGCTCAGGCGTGTCTATTTGATCCCCACTGTGGCTCTGTGGCCATGGGCTCAGGGCAAACTTGGGTTTTGTGGATTCCTTACTATTAATAAGTATTATATAACAGTGCAGCACTTTTTTTTTAACTCTTAATGTCTATGGCATTGTTTTTATCTGCAATTAGAAGAAAGTAACTTTTAGGTAATCTTAAGGATATCTTGCTTTGTAGGAAATGTTTTATGATAACCAGCTTAGGGTATAGTTTCTTTGAGGTTTTTGTTCATTGTTTAAAGTCGTTTCTCAACAATTTTTAAATTGATGGTGATTTGTAGGTGTATTTTTATCCCTGGAGCATCACTTCCTGTATGAAGGCCCACACCCCCTAGTGATTTTCCCCCAGTCACCCTTTGTTTGGGACTTGAAGTCAGCTGGGCTTAAGGCGTTTAACAATCTCGTACAGCAAGAAGGACTAGGATATTCAGGTCGTAGATTTGAATGAAACAACAGATCATGGTTTGAAAAATAGAAATCGGTGCTGCAGGTGTTACCAAATACACAACCTTGGGTAGATTTAAAACTCAGCTTATGAAGTTAGTGCTCCTTTAATATTCTAGGTTTGGATGTCACCTTATCTAGTAAGCTTTTTAACTTTGCAGGCGGAGCACCTCCACACGAGCACAGTGGTGTCTAACTCCATGTCTGTGTCTGTTTCCAGTTGTCGACCTCCTCTACTGGAGAGACATCAAGAAGACTGGCGTGGTGTTTGGCGCCAGCTTGTTCCTGCTGCTCTCGCTGACGGTGTTCAGCATTGTCAGCGTGACGGCCTACATTGCCCTGGCGCTGCTCTCGGTGACCATCTGCTTTAGGATCTATAAGGGCGTGATCCAAGCCGTCCAGAAGTCAGATGAAGGTCACCCGTTCAGGTGAGATACGCTGCCGGCTATCGAGGGGGGTGTCAACAGGAATGGGATGGCGACTAACCTCCAGTACAGAGAGCCCTACTGGCATGCAGTTTGGGTCCTTGAATTGCAAGCACATTTTTACTAAAAAGCTATTT